CTCCCCCTCCCCCCTTTCCTAATTTATGTTTCTGCTGGCTGATCTGGGAGCCTGCACTGATCAGCCTGCAATGCCAGGGAGGGGTATGTGACAGCTGTTGAAGTCATTTTTCTGTGGGGAAGAAACAAAATCTGCAGAGGACATGTATTCTGAGTGCACACACAGTATGCAAAATTCCCCCCAGGAGTAGCACTATATAAGAGAGGGAAGGCTTGTGGGGAGCTAGAGGTAACCAGGAGAATCTGGGGGAGGGAGGTTGCTGTGTGGGAAGAAACACAGGATGGGGGCAATACAGTGGTTCAAGCTTTGTTAGTTCCTCCTTCCTATTAGTCTGTGTCCCTATCTTTTGTCCATTAGCAGTTGTTCCTACAGCAGGTCCACTTCGCCCTGTGCTCCTGGTCCCTTACCTCGGTCTCATCTTTCCTTGACCTGCCTGTAAAGCACTGTTTCTGCTAATGCCTTCCTGCTCTGTGACTGAGATCTGGCATAAGCAGTAGAAAGCAATCAGAAGTGGAGGCAGAGAAGCTGCATGCTGAACAGATCTCATAGTGGTCTATGTTTGCAGACAGGATAAACTTCACCCTAAACTCATTGCCCAGAGCCCTGCAGAATGCATAACATTCACTCTGGGCCATTGTAGTGCATGAGAAATAGCTTGCATGCACGAGTGTCCTCTTTGTAAGGCATCCCAGGCCATGAGATAGCAGCTAAAAGTCATGACACTTTTATGAATGGAAAACCTGTTGCTGGGTCAACTTTATCTTGCCAGTTCTGAGGCACAGGCTGGTGCATCTTAGTTGGTGAAATTTTACATTTAGGAGAAGGAGTAAATATTTCTGTGAAAGGTCAAGAGCTGAATATTAGAATAATTTTGAAACACCAGGGATTTTTGGACAGAGAGCAGGTGAGACAGTTTAACGTGCACAATAAATTTATCGCATGGTTCTTTATGATCTCACACTCTCCACATACGAAGAGGCACATGCATATATAATGGTCCATTTAAGGCCATAAATCTCTGTTCATTTACACTTATGAGAGTTCTTTTACAAAACTGAGTGTGTTGTATGATCTTTGTTTACATTTCATCATAAGTTTGGGTTAATATATCACTGTGCATGGTACTACCTTTTGACATCAGTAAGATGCACCATCATTTTCAAATGTCCTTATTTTCATTAACCAAAAAATGAGGTACGTTTCTATTTAAATAGTAGTGGTATCTAAAGGGAATAAGAAAAATCTCCAAATCTGTTTAATTGATCTTTGAGGGCACTCTCTCAAGACTTAGAGAAGCGTCCATTAGTTGTTACTTTGAATACACAGAATAATTGAGCAGTGTTAGCTGATATCAACATAACTCCAAGCTGATAACAAGAGAGGACAAATTTGCTCAATGGCAAACTATTATTAAGTGCTGCAAAGTCTATTTTTTAAGCAGCATTTTCAAATTTGACA